TTAGATTACTTGCAAACTTAACAATAACAAAAAAATTAATAAAATATCTTTAAAATAAACTTAAGTAAAAATTATAGTATAAATTTAAAAACTATTAGTTTATACTTAAAAATAAAAAAAACAATTATATTTTCAGAATTCCAAAAAATATCGTCCCGTGAATTCCGTCTCGTTCCATCCCGGTCCGTTCCGGTTCATTTCGGTTCCATCTTGGTATATAGTGGAACGGGACGGAACCGATGAATCATCCCGATAATTCCGGTCCGGTTCATCCCGGTACCGATCAACATACCAGTCAACGGGTTCCGATCCGGTCCGGTACCGATTCATTCCGGTCCGGTGAACCGGTTCCGATCCGTTGACCCTGCATATATATAAGGAATAGAAGACATGCTTGATGAGAAATGCTAAATTAGTATCAAATTTGAGCATTAATAACCATAAGAAACTTCACAACATTTTCAATAGATGTACATCCGACAACTTGTACACAATATATAAGGTTGAGCCGCCAAAACAAGCTAAATCAATTGATAATTAATATGACAGTTCGTTCCAAATAAGTTCAGTAATAAAAACTATAAGCTGCTCACATTTTTTCTGTCTCAAAATCAAAATCACAAGGTAATCCTTCATAGAATTTCATGATCAATCAAATCCAAAATTTATCAGCTAATTAAAACTAATTGATATCTCAGATGAAAATACTAGCAGGGTAAATATAAATGGAGAAAATATTTGTCATCACAATAGAAAGAGAAAAATTAGGGAAAATGAAGCATTAACCAAGTCAATGTGATGCAATATGGGCGTAACATCGTCTATTAATGGTTTTATTACGTTTCATCCCACTTTAAGTACATCCAACATACTTATGGGAAAAAACACTTCAAATATAAAAAGGACTAGAAGTCGGAAAACTAGATTTTCCCACGACGTGATTGGTAATAACGAATCAGATTTAGTAGTGTCTGTTCTTTAGGACTCTGTTGTAACTTCCTATTTAGGTTATAGATTAAGTCTTACCTTTTTTTTATTTAATCTCTAGGTTGTAAAAGATATATAGAATCTATATATACTTGGTCTACAATCAATAAAACATGTAGTTCTTGTAGGAAATATAAAAAAAGAATACTATTTTATGAGAATGCTCAAGTTTTTATATAGGCTACTTAAGTTCACTTGAGATGATTATAATCATCAGTTACATCACTATTTATACTACTCAAAATAGAAAATAAAATGTCTTGCACGATTAACTAGATACATGTATTACAAAATCATAAATGACTTCTTGAGAAATTAAGAGACTATTGAAATAATAAACGTCAAGATGTGAATGCATTTAATCCAACACTCATGCTTAATGTATTTGCTTGAACACTCCAATTTCTTCTCGAAGATGACAAAACTTCACTTGGAAGTATGCGGTGATGATGTCAACAAGTAGTTCTCATGTCTGACAATATTTGCAATTGAATTTCACCTTTCTCTTGCGTTTTTGAATATCTTCTTTTTTATTGAGTTTTGTTTTGCAAATTCACTTTAGACTTAAAAGTTCTCTTTCTTTTGGTATACTCACACACTCCCAAGTATTATTTTTCTCCATCTTCCAATTTTTTTCTGCCAAGATTTTCTTCCAAACATCATACTTTATTGCCTTCTCACAATTTTCTTTCTTAACAACGGCAAAGTTGCATCTTTGGTAAATGTCACTCAATATTTTTGTTCGTCTTGGAAGTGATTCTTCATCATTTGAATCTGAGATTTCTCCTCCTTATGGACATCTTCCTCTTTCTCATCCTCTTTTTGATTTGACACATCTAAAGATATGATAGAAATATTATATACCTTGTTCTTAGTATGTATCTTAGAAAGGTCTGCACCATGTCTTTTTGCTTGGGAAGCTTCAAACCATGAAAATTCAAGTGACAAAATTTTTCGTGCCAAAGCCATGAATTATCTACAACTTCATTTTTTAATGCATTGTAATGAAATTGTAAAGGAAATTTTGTTTATATCATCTCTACTTCAACAATGATTTGATTTGACCCAATTTTATCATAAATCTTGCAATAATTATTCCTAACACAAGAGAATAACCATTTTCCATGAATTGACCAACAACACTAAGCATATTTTCTTTCAATTCAGGAACATAAAACATTAGTTTAGTTCCTTGATATTGCCAGCCATTTGCAATCTTAGACTAAGCCAGATACACCTCATATAACCATGTCAAATTATGCCACACATATTATGGAAGAATAGAGAAAAAGTACGAGATCTTACATATTTAGACTAATATATTCATAAATTTAATATAATCTAAATCAATTTATAAATTTATCTTTAATAAATTTTAAATGATTACATCCATATTCAAAACCTTCAACTATATAAATAAAGTGTAATATATATGCTTTGCTAATTGCTAGTGTTTTCTTGAAGGATGAGATTGTTTGAGAAATCTTTAACTTGAAAATATAAGGGGCTAAAAAGGTTAGGGTTTATGGGTATGGAAAAAGTTGACAAACTAAATTTCCCCTAAAGGCATGACTTATTCCAATTTAGTTTGTAAATAACTAATGATATATAATGTAGTAAAAAAAATTATATATAATGTAGTGGATGATTTGGCTAATTATCTAAAGCAGCACAGTGTAGACAACATGGCCCTCAAGCATGATAAAAAAATCAAAAAAGTTGTTCTCCACAAAATCTATGTAATTGACGCAAGTGATTTTTTCCCCTTTTATTTCCGTACTTGCAGTATAATATTGGTGAAAATAACCAACTGATTCAGTTGAGATTTTTATAGCTATTTTTATCTATTACACTAGATTTACAAATTTATATAAAACTTGTATAATTTTTATCAGAATCTTAATTTTTGCGAAGTAGTTATTGATTGTGATTTGGAACAGTGGGTCGAGCTTAAGCTCACCTAATTAGCTTTGTAATTTTATTCATATTAGCATTGTGATTTTATTCATCAATATAAAGGTTTTGCCTCGGCGATTAAAAAAAATTAAAAGAAAAGGTATAATAATGGTGAAAATGTTAATAAACAAATTTAAAGTAGTTACATTGTACTATATTATACCTTTTCTACTATTTTATTGTAGCTTGATATGCCATTGTGCTGATATCCATGCACGCGGAATATTACAATTTTTTTCCCATTGTAACCTATCTTTATAGTGGCAGACATTATAATAAATCAAATTTTTCGGGGCAATTATTTAGAACCCCTTTAGATTAATTTTAAAAAATAGCTTTTAAATAAAAAATTATTAAGTTAAATTAAAATGAATTTAAGTTAAAAAGATATTTGACTTATTTTAAGTAATTTTATACTTATCTTTAAGTTGTTTTTTGACATTGTTAAACACTTTGTAACTTATTTTAAGTTATTTTTCATATTTGTCAAACACTTCGAAGTCAAAAACCGACTTACGAGTTGATTTGATCAACTTTTAAGTCATCCTTAGCAATTATAATATAATTAGTGATTATATTTACATATTTATAACTAGAAAAATAATATAATATGAATACTTATAATTACCGACATTCTATATAGATATTGCTAAAGACTTAAGCAAATATAAATGTAGTAACTCACCTCAATTGCCATTAAATATAGTTGCAACAAAATAAATATTAGAAGAAAATTTTATTGTCACTTCATGTTTATTTTGTAACCTTAATAAAGAAAAGGGAGTGTATCCAACTTATAGAATAGTATCATATATATTCGCATCAATCTTTTAGATGTTGTAAAATGAAAATCTTGATCAGAACATATCTTATGGACATACGCATGCATAATGTACAAATGGAAAGAATTTTGGCTAATATTCAAAATGGCTCAAGGAAGAGAAAAGGGTCATTATTATCTCGAGCTCCAAAGGCCACATATATCACATCGGTCGAGAACATAATTAAATAATAAAAATGTGCTATCTCTAATAGTTTAAGTTTTTAATGAGATAATCACATACTTTAACAATATTCTTTCAATGTATAAAAATATTGTTTGGAATGACGGTTTTACATGGTACGTACCATATAGAATATTACAGAAAGCCACAACATATGAGATAGTTGATGTCGCGACCCAAAAGCCGAGGTCAGTGGCAGAGTCAGGATTTTCACGAAGGGTGTTCCCCTGTTAAAGTGAATCTGTTCTTCTTAAAAAGTGGGAAAAAATTGCTAGTAGTGAAATTCGAACACACAAACACTTAAAGCTTTCGTATCTATACTCTTTCAAGGCGCCTAAAATCACTAGGCTACATCGTATTGTTGTGTCAAGGGTGTCCAAAATATGTTATTTAACAACTTAATTTACTATTTACTTGTATTTACAGTATAATATTCCGACAAAGGTGTCCAATTGGACACCCTGACACAAGTGTGGCGACGCCACTGGCCGAGGTCATGATGCTACACATCCCGAGAATTCCAAAATGATGTGTAAGTTGAAAGAAATACATATACGAGACTCCCAAAGAGAAGTCAGGCCACAAATGATAGAAAAACAAGCAAGAATATCTCAAAACCTGATAGCATAAGTATAAAGAGCAGCATCTAATACATTTTTAAAATTTGAGATACATCTCAAATCTTCAAAAGGAATAAAGATTTTTAAATATAGATGGAGACTAATGGCGATGTGAAAGACATAATCTAACTCTATCGATCAGTTTGCAAGTTCCCTTCTATCCTTAATTAATTTTTGAACTTTTAAGGATAATCGAGTCGTAGTGATTCCCAACCATTTTATTCACATGTTATGGTTGTGTGAGTAAAATTTTCACCGTTAACCAAAGATTTTGAGTGAGTTTGGATATCAAATATATGGAAAAAAAATTACACTTAAAATAAGTCAATCCAAATAGACGAACTATATTCAATCAAAGTTTACACTCTTGGATGATCTTTAGAAATGAAGCACAGATGTAGTAATTAAGTGATCAACATAACAATATTATTGCTTAAAATAAGTTAACAAGTACATAAAGTATAAATTAAATGGGAGAAAAGAGGACAACAACTAGCTACCAGTATATTAAATATTCAATAACTGGCTATGTTATCTATTTTTCTAAACGATGACAAATATATAGTTTTAATTATACCCAAATGGCTTTAGCCCTTATAAGCAATTGCTTGAGCTTATTACCCCTTAAATTAAGGCTCATTATCTCATTTGAACCACCCACTAATTCTTTTCCAATGAACACTGCTGGCACACTAGGCTTACACCCTAATTCAACCAATGCTTTCTCCATTTCCATCCCATTTGAAAGTTCATCAAGCTCATAAATCGTAGGGTTTGCACCAAAACTACGAATTAGGGTCTCAATGCTGTGAGATATGCAACAATTACTCTTAGTGAAAATGACCACTGGACTTTCACCTCCCAACTTCATCACACTTTCCATTTCAACAAATTCGGAAAATAAAAAGTTGTTATAATGTTTTCTTCTTGATGATTGAAGGAAGATATTGTTTTGGGAAATTTGAACTTAAATGAAGCTATATATAAGGGATTAAAGGTGAGTGTGGGAAAAGTTTATACGTAAAATATCCAAAGCATTTTGGATCATTATTGCAATTTAATATTTACATAAACAAAAAAGACATGATATTTGGCTTATCCACATGGAGGCTTAAGCAGCACAATCTAGACAACATGGTCCTCAAGATGGAAAAGGAAATCTAAAAAATTATTCCCTAATCAATATATATATATATATATATTATTATTTGACAAAAAGGTTTTCCTTTTTTTCTAGTTCTGTATATTATTGTTTACATTCTCGTAAAATAAATATGATTTTTTTTCTTATTTGGAATTAAGGTGATGGGGTTCAATGTAATTGTGATACATTAGATAAATTCTACGTCAGCAAAATGCTGATGAGATGTTGGACATATAAGAAAATATTTTTTTTTCTAATCGTCAAAACGCCTACACCGTAAAAGGGAATGGTGTATATGTGTCACCCTTACTAAATTAATGAGAGTTTTTGGTCAAAAAATATCCTTCAATTGTATTTCAAACATAAATTATATTTTTAAAGTATTATTTTTAACAGAAAAATCTTTTAACTATATCTCAAACTTAAATTATATTCTTAAAGTATCATTTTTAACAGAAAAACATCCTTTAAGTATTTGTAAGTGAACGACTTTCATCTTTTTGTTAGATATTATCAAAAAATTAAGGAATTTTACAAAAAATGAGTAGTTAACGTGACTATCAACAAAAGTTATTCTTGAAAATTTCATTACTTTCTACAAGAAGTTCTTTAAAAGTAAATCTTAGACATTGTTAGTCATGGAAACTAAAAATGATTGGAAGGTCTGAGTGTACATGAATTGCCTTTTTCGTAAAAAAAAGTTGAAGATTAATTATTTTTACCTTTTTCTTGACCAATTAAATGAATAGATTTTCGGGTCAATCTAATATGAAAGTGACCAAAATATTGATTATGTCTCATATTTGAGTTTCATTCTGCATTATTAGAAGCGGAAGTCTCCAACAAATGTCTTTTCTAGCATATTCAATTGAGAAGAAACATATTTAAACTAATAATATTTTTAATTAAAATTA